TCATCAAGTCCGCCTTAATTCTGTTGACCAAGATTATCTGGTCAATGAATTGGTAAAAGAGGAACTTATAACAACTAACAATGAATGTCTAAACTTTGTGTTGGGTTTTTTGAAGTGGATTTTGGACCCAAATCTTCAATGTAGCATCAAACCTAGAATATGTTTGCAAACACAGAAGAATGGTATTTTTGTTTGTGGTAGAAATAAAGCCTTGTTTTACCTTCCCAATGAAAACATTTGGTACCAGTTATCAGACTTGTTGATGGAATATCAGAGTCATGCTGCCATACAATACCGAGATAAAGTTTATATCTTCAGTAACCAAGGTGGTGGAGATTATTACATGCCGTCAACCAACACTTGGGGTGCAATTCAATCAGAATCTTTTTGTGGGAAATTGTGCAGCTTGTTAAAATTCGATAAACACAAAATTTTGTATGCTGTGTTAGAGAGGTCATTAAGAAGCTGTGGTGTGTATCATTACGATCCTGTCAAGAGTGAATGGAAAAATTTTGTTGACGAGGAAAAGTTTCAGCTCTATGGAGCCTGTGGTGTGACTGATGGGTGTCACCTTTATGTAATAGGTGGAAGTAAAAGTGATGATTGGCCTGCCCTCCCCATTGGATCAACCAAAGTAGTAAGGATTGATCCTGAGGACGGCAACTGTGAAGAGGTTGCATTCATGAATGAGGCAAGGCATGATGCATTTGGAGCAGCCATGAATGGTAAAATCTATGTGGGTGGTGGAAGACAGAAAAAAAGGACCCTCAGGACATGTGAGATGTACGACCCGTTAACTGACGAGTGGCAGGTGATGCCAAGTCTTAATGTACCACGTCACTCTTCAAGCATGGTCTGCTATGAGGAAGCTCTTTATGTTGTAGGTGGAATGAAAACGAGACAGGATAGAGAGTTATCTGTGGAAATGTTTGATTTTAAGACAAATAAATGGATGAAGAAGAAATCAACCATACCAGTTGCTGATGAAATTGAAGAGGAAAGAAAGGAAAAATGGCATTTCAAAGCCTGTTCTGCAGCTGTGCATAAAGATGCATTACAAGCGCGTATTGAATACTAATCTCATAAAAACCATTCAAGGCTTTACAGTTGACAGTGTCTGTTTTTCTTGCTGTAATAAGTCTTTTATGGACGTATTCCCATGGTCCACAGAGAGATTGATTGATTCGCTTTTATGTGAATGCGATAATTTCATAAGCAAGTTATTTTTACAAAATTTCATAGCATGAAAGCTGTATTGAAAAGGTGGAAAATACTGTATTAAGTACACTAAAAATATGTACAGATGTTGCTGCATTAGCAAGTTTGGGGAACTGCTCAAAGAGACATGCAGGAATTATGGCATTGTGTTCATTTTATGTTTATGAAAGCTTTCAGTGTAACCAATATACCCTGCATCACATATCCTACATTGATAATTTTATAATTTCCAGCATAACCAGTGTAGCATTTTCAAATTTGACTGCCTCGTTAGAGAGATGCTCCATATTCGCAAGCTTCAACCCACCCTCAGGGCTAAAAAAAAGTGAATTCCAGCTTGTCCTCAGGCAACCAGCTCTTACATGTTGCTCGCCTGGGCCACTTCTTACTTGTCTTGGTTAATGATTTTTTGAAAGGATGACCTATGTGGATCCTTGTTTATTGAGCAAGTAAGGCCCGGTTTAGACGATGCTCCAGTCATGTTCCGAATCTAACTGATGAATTAAGAACGGCAAAAGAGTGGCATCTGAATCAATTTGGTGTGGTAAAAGTTTAAAGTGCAACAGAGTCTGTCAAACATTTTGTCAAACTTAACTTATGCTCGAAACATGGTGCACCATCTGAATCAGATGTTGCGCCATTGTTGCGTCAAAGTCGAACTTATTCAATTACTTTATTCCTAAACTACATTGTACAATCTACCAGACTGGACTTCTTTAGAGCCCTGACCCTGGACATGCAAACTAATTCTGTAAATGCTAAGGTGTTTGTTCAGTGCTTCTGTTGTTATGCTGAATTTATATGCATCACATAGTTTGTTTCTTAGTCTTAGGAATGTGGTACTGATGGTGCCAAAACATAGTGTTTTGTACTCTTATTTTTGCACATTCTTGCTTTTTGTTTTAATATCAAATAGGGGGAATTGATCCTTTTTGCAAGAGGTTTGCACCTTGTCTGAAATTAGGCACTTAAGACGCAGCCCTTGCACTTTCAGCAGAACTATCCTCCCTTTTGTGGAAATTACTCGAAAATGGTAATCACTAGCTATGTACCACCTGAGCTGAAGACAAGGTGGCCAGCTTGCTGGCTCACAACACAAGACCTAGCCTTAGACTGTACAGTTGTAGTATTGTGTGATATACTGGAGATATCTGGTGGCGTTTAATTCTTTTATATGCCTTTAAAACGAAAGAGAAGCAACAGTATCATTGTGAAATTTGAAAAACTCAATAATGTCATTTAAAAAAAATATAGAAAGGGTGATATGGACTCCAGAACCCCTTGATCTCTTCCTGAATATACCCCTACTTAAAAGTATAGATACAAAAGAAACAGTCTCCTTTTTGAACTCAGTCAGGAGTTATTTCCAGTTCCTTGCTTGAGCATTTGGAAGGCCTTTCTTTCAAAAGAGGTTCTGGTTTGGAAAAGGTCAAAGGGTGCGTTTCTTCATAAGTTTACGTTCTGGAGCTCAGCCTTACCAATTATTTAAAAACTTTGTAATTACTTTGGACATCTTTGGTTGCTTACAATCTTGAAAATAGAAATAAATGTAATGTTTGTATCACAAAGTGTTTTAAAACATGTGTTAACTGCATGTGCTTAGCCTGCGAGCAACCTCTCCATTTTGAGTGGCAAGCATCCAGGTGTTTAACCAACTTTGAGTTAAAGGGATTCAATAACTGCTGAAGAAATTGAAAATAAGCCAAAAAAGAAAAAACACTGGCAGTGATCCCCCTTTCCTAACAATAAAAAAATTGTAAGGACTAACAAGGCTTTCAAGACCTGTTTATTTTAGGTTACAGCGAAGACCAAAATAAGAACTGCAAGTTAAAACCTAGGTTTGAAGACTACCATTAGACTACCATTTGCCAGTTGGACCCTTTTAAGGTAAGACTGCTGTTTATCCAAATTGACCACTCCAGAAATACCACAACATACCATAATGATCTTTGTTTGTCACTCCAAAATTTTGCATAAGCATTGTCTTCAGTTCTCTTGGGAGTTAAAATGGCCCCAAGAGAAACTGGATGCTTATGCAAAATTTTGGGGTGACAAACAAAAAACAAAGTGGATCTGTTATTTGTTGGCCATCTATTTCAATGTACGAAGGAGACGAAGGAGTCAGCATTATGGTATGTTATGATATTTTCTGGTGTGATCCAATACTCCGCGTTCCACGGATTAGCCCAATCCCTTCTCAAACATACTTGCAAACGAGGCTCTTCTAAAATCTCCTCTCAAACATGGCGGCCGTCTCGGAAAGGGTCTCTGAACCGATGACTACAGATCATTCACAACACCGCCAACAACTTACCGATCGTCTTGAGATCCTCAGAAACAACGAACGTTTCTGTGATGTAATAGTCGAAGTAAAGGGTAAAGAGTTCAAAGCTCACAAAGCTGTTCTAGCTGCAGCAAGCCCGTTTTTTCTTACACTTCTAGAAAGTAACATGAGAGAAAGCAGCGAACACTTGATAAAGATAGAACTTGAGGACGCAACTGCGTCTATCGTGGAAGACGTTTTAAAGTACATTTACACTGGAAATGTTTCAGTCACTGAGGAAAGTGCTCACAATCTGATTGCAACGGCCGATTACCTTTTTTTACCAGGCTTAAAATCGTTGGCTTGTGATTTCTTAAAAGGGATCTTGGCAACAGAGAACTGTGTTTTTAATTATTACTTTGCTGAAAGATATCAGTGCGTGAATCTAAAGGAGGAATGCCGAGAGCTCATAAAATCAAATTTCAGTGCAGTTATGGAAACAGATGATTTCCTAAACCTTGATGCAAAGCAAGTGTTGGAGTGGGTGTCTAGTGATGACATCACTGTCAGCGCGGAGGAAGAAGTTTTCAGAGGAATCGTGAAGTGGGTACATCAAAGCAAAAGTGAAAGAGAAAAGGAATTTTCAGATTTGTTGCAGCACATCCGTCTTGGTTCTTTGGACCACAATTTTCTGTTCAATGAACTTGTGAAGGAAGAACTTATAACAGCTAACAATGACTGTCTAAACTTTGTGTTAAGTTCCTTGGAGTCAATTTTCAGCCCTACTCTTCAAAGACGTATCAAATCTAGATCATGTCTACAAACACAGTTGAGTGGAATTTTTGTTTGTGGTGGAAGAAAAGCCTTGTGTTACCGTCCCAGTGAAAATATTTGGTATCAGTTGCCGAACATGTTAATGGAACATCAAAATCATGCTGCCATGCAGTGCAGAGACAAAGTTTACATATTTAGTACACGTAATCAGAGTGGTGCAGATTTTTACATGCCCTCAACCAACACTTGGGGTGCATTTCAAATACAGTGTGCATCACATGTCGAGAAATTTTGTAGCCTATTTACGTTGCATGAAAATATGACTTTGTATGCATTAACAGAGGAATCCTTTTCTAGGGGTAACATTTTACTATATGATCCTGTGAAATGTGAGTGGAGAGTCATAGGTATTAGACCTAATAAAGTCAACTGGTGTGGATCCTGTGGTGTGGCTGATGGTTATCACCTTTATATGATAGGTGGATGTGATAGTTATTATTTCGGGGGGAACTCTGGGGCAACTACAGTTCTAAGGATTGATATACATGCAGAAAAAGGCAACTGTGAAGAGGTTGCACCCATGAATGAGGGAAGGTACAATGCTTTTGGAACAGCCATGAATGGTAAAATCTATGTAGCAGGTGGAAAGCAGAGGTCTTTAGTGCTCAACACCTGTGAGATGTATGATCCAGCAACCAATGAGTGGCAGATGATGCCTAGTCTTGATGTACTACGTTACTCTTCAAGCATGGTGTGCTTTCAAGGATCATTGTATGTCATTGGTGGATTTAACAATCGCTCAAGGGAGTTGTCGGTGGAAATGTTTGATACAAGTACAAATAAATGGATCAAAAGGTCAACCATACCCATTAAAAATGAAGATGAAGAGGAAAAAAAGAAAAACTGGCACTACAAAGCTTGTTTTGCAACAGTACATAAAGATGTACTAAAGAATCAGGAGAAGATTTCATAACCTCATGACTTTCAGTGCTGTTCTATGTATATTTAAAGCTGTTTTGTATGTCTCTGGTTTTCTCTGGTGGCTTAAAGAGAAAAACTAGCTAATGGCCAGTTGAAGGGATTATTACTCCATTGCAAGTGCCCAACCAAAAATTACCAATACCTGTCACTGTACTTGGTCATTAATGCCTTGAATACAGACTGTAGGTCAGGCTGTACCTTAAGTGACTACTCTTCCAATTTCCAGCTGTACAGTGAACCTTACTTTTTTATCTTTATAAAACCAAACACGTTCCACAACATTGACCTCAGACAACACACTGGCCACCAGGCCACAACCTGCTAAAATAATGGACAAAACTCTTGATGAAAATGCATACTTGGAGAGCATTTTCCTAAACATCGCAGTCATAGCAATTTTTTCCTCCCCGTCACCGTGGAATCAAAGCGGTGCAAAAAAAAGCCTCATACCTGACCCCGGTTGTTCAAACGTTGGATAGCGCTATCCACCGGATAAATCACTATCCAGCAGATAGCTTAATTGATTTCCGTGATACATACCCGCTGGATAGTAATTTATGCGGTGGATAACGCTATCCAACGTTAAGGAAGCAATGATGACCTGGGGTAGGGGTTTTCTTGTTGTAAAGCCATTTGTTGCATAAGGTAGTGTGCAATCACAAAGAAACATTCTTAAGTACTTCTGTCCAGGATTGTAGCCTGCATGCACACACCTCTTATTTCCTTTGTTGGGCAAGCCACTCTTCTTTGAGCAACAATGGAAAAAAGAGAAGTCTACATTGCAGGCTCAACCTGGTTTCAAAGATCTCTCTTCTTCAGGAGGAACAGAAACCCTTTAGGCTTTGGCTGTATCTAATATATAATTTTTGCCAAGCCTAAAGGCAAAGCCCGGGTTGATAAATTTATAATTTACCTCAAACAATAAAGTTGTAACCATTACAAAGAAATTCACTTGGAGTTGAGCCTGGACATATGACTGGACAGACGGGTGGGCCTATGGTCACATGATTACCAAAATTTCTCGGATGGATGGATAACCAAATTTCCTTAGCTATGGGGCTCCGCTCGATTATGTTTACCACAGTAAAATTAATGAAATCTGTAAAATCTTGGCAAAGTATAGCCTGTGCCACAGACAAACCCAAACTTTTGGTGTTAGTACATCTGTGAAATAATGCCAAAACCCTTGTTCCAGGCCCTCACCTGTGTACCAGGATTTGAGTATGCATAATGATTGGCTTGTTAAAAATGCCATTGTTGATTAACCAACCAAACTGAAGGGAAATTTGAGATGCATTTCCACTATGAGCAATTGTTGAGTCTAATGGGGTCCCAGAAAAAGGATATTGGCACTACTTCATGGATGATTGTTACTAACTAGGTTGGATTACATCTGTGATGAGGCAAGGCAAACTACTTGGAAGCTAAGGCTGCTACTTTCACCATTGAAAGATTAATTACCAATTCATAATACTGAACTCTTTGAAAATTGTTTTGATAAAATAGTTCTAAGTGTTTAAAAACTGAAACTGATGTTATCATGGGCACTATTTGCCAGCATGAGTTTACTCAAATGCAAAGCATTTTCAAGAAAAAGAAACTCAAAAATATTGTTTTGAGAAAGATAAAAAGATATAAAAGACTCATGGCAGAATCATGATAGCCTGTGAGCAAGTTCTCCACTTCAAGCAAGTTGCAAGAGAACTTGCCAGCATCTTCTTTCGCATGCCGCTCTCACGTGACTTCTCATGACTTTCCCAAAGGGAGAGCTTGCTTGCAGGCCAGGATCCCAGAGCTGGCAGGTCACTCAGCTACATTTTCCCAGGGCTGTCATTAAGACTTTAAGTTGCTGGGTATATGTTATTAGTAGGCAGGGAGTTGAGCAACTGGGGTCTTCTGTTCTCTATTAAAGTAGCTGGAAGTCATGCTCATAGTAGCCAGGGAAAATCTCCAGCCCTGGTTCCTAATGACAGCCATGTTTTCCCTTTTCACATTCAAACAGACAGTTTGTCTTAGTGAAAATATAATGTTTA